TTACGTGTTCGCCATTGAAAGTGGTTTTTTTTTATGGAAAGAGGGGGAAGACGGGCAGTAGGCTCACCTAATGGAAAGTTTTATAAGAGTTCTAACGTTTTTACCTTAATCCTAATATTTTAACTATTACTTAACTTGACTATTAACAACTATTATATCAACAAGAAGAACTATTGGTTATATCACCGACCGGGGACCGCAGCCAAAATCCAAGTGAACACTGCTCTATGCGACCATGTGTCCCTTGGCTAGAGTTGATAACGTTATATCCGGTATACAGTGTTGCCAGCGCCAACAGTTTTATCGGACTTTATTAAAGCCTAGTTAGACTAGGCTATTCGTCCACCTTGGACTGCCGCCCCGCGGAGGACTTGACACGGCACCATTTGGCTGGACCGGGTGTCTAAACACCCGGAGAGAGGAGGCCTAAGAAGGCCACAGTCGCGCCGGGGTTCGCGGGAGATTGCGTTTTCGTGTTCCCGTGTCGCCGGCAAAGCGACAGCGCGGGTGAAACGTGGGTTTTTAGTGGGTACCCCGTAACACCCACATACCCCTGCTGCCTACCCACAAGGCGGCGGCGGATCCGTAAAGGAAATTTCCCACGTAAAAAAAGCTATTCGTCCACCTTGCTTTATTAAAAAACAAATTCAGATAATGATCGCTGCTCAAATCGTAATTAATTTTACACAAACTGTTTAGCCTCAATAAATTCGAATACGGTTGAACCCATGTCAAATGCATTACCGACTATTTCAGTTGGTTCGGCGAGGCGGGCCGCGGCGCAGTTCTTGTATGTACCGCCCGTTCACGCTCCATTTGTTGTTAAACGGCCCTTTATCCGAAACTTTCGCCGGTTAACAGGTCGGGCGTTTGGAGTACGGAAATAAAAAAAAATCTAATGTTTTACTGTGCTGCAGCTAACGATTTACGCAAGAGAGGTTCACGGTACAGCACAGGCTTACCTACGCGACATATGATAAATTTGTCACGGTCAATGAATCGCCGATAAAAATCAAACATAAAAAACACGGGGACCACAAAAGTCATTATGACGATCGAATTAATTGAGAAATATGACAATTAACAATTGTGATATCACTCAATTATGACACGTTGAAACCATAGCAGCCATAAATCGTAATACTTCGACAGTTCACCTAATTGATGACATAATTTTGATAAGAAACGTAATAACTATGATTAGATTAAGTAGTAAGCAACAAAACTAATGGATGGACATTTGGATTTCAGGATTATTTATGTGTACTCATTATCCGGACGATAGTATTTATTTAAGATACAAAAATAGGTTTAAAGTTTATTATTTATCACTTAGCTAGTACCCATAGTGCAAGCTTTGCTAAGGTTGGGAATAAATAACGTGTTTCTTTTTATGGATAAAAGGGGAAAACGATAAGGAGGCAAACCTGATGGTAGGCGATTAACGCCGCCCACGAACACCTACAACACAAATGAAAAAAATATGTTGTGAAAATGCGTCCTGAATCTATTTAATTTATTTAATTATATTTACTTTATTTACTTTATTTACTTAATCCGTTTTTACTTTTATTTCATTCTTAATTTTTAATTCGTGGCGCATGCCATGGTATTCGATTCCCACACTAGACAACTATTTGTACGGCTCATGGATAATTCTAATGGATCTGGGTGTTCGTCCACGGAAAATTTATGCATGTAAAACGTCCTTACAACACATGATAATGCTATAGTACAGAGCAATGATTTAATTAAAAAAAAAACGATTAACTTGGATATCTAAGAAGTAATAAAAATAATAGTTCGAATAGGATAATAATCACTACATAGTATAAAACAAAGTCGTCCCGATGTCTGTCTGTCTGTCTATGTATACTTTGATCGTTAAAACTACGCTACGGAATTTGCGTTTTTTACTAGATAGGGTGATTCAAGAGGAAGGTTTACATGTATAATATATTAAACCCTTTTAATATACATATAAATATATGTATTGATGACTCCGTGGCGCAGGTGCCAAGGTATTGGCTTCGGCGTAGGGGGTCGTGGGTTCGATACCCACACGGGACAGCTATTTGTGTGATCCACAGACAGTTGTTTCGCATCTGGGTGTTTGTCCGCGTGAAATTTATTTTGTTAGACGTCCTTACAACACAGGATAATGTTATCCTAAAGTAAGGGCAATGTTTAAAAAAAGGTATTGAATTTATAACAAACAGCAAGCCTAAAATAATAATCTGCCAGTGAGTCACAGTGAGGCTGCTTGGTTGATTTCAATGGGTTTTGAAAACAGAGAAACCCTATATAGAGTTTTACTTTTAATAGTGCACTACTATAAAAGTACATAACGATATAAAACATAGATATTTTAAAGATTCTTACGCAGTTGGACTTGTTTGGTGTACTCAAATGTCTTAATAAATTCTCTTTAATAAAAAATATACAAGTTAAAATATACGGTACAATAAATTAAGAGTTGCCGCAAGTAATTTATTGTATATTGATAGAAATATAAACTAAATGACCTTGTTAACGGACCACGACGGAGTATCCGAGAGTAATAAAGCGATAGAAAATTGTTTACGATCTTTGTCGACTACTCTGTTCTGTGAGAACATATAAATTTGATTTATTAAAAAGAAGTTTAAGAAGATATAAATATTGATTCCACTTTAATTCAGTATGCTATAATTAATATTTAATAATGGTTGCAGACAAAAAAATTCTTTCATTTTCATCAGGCACTTTACGCTTTGTGATTTTGTCTTGGTATTTTTGTATATTTAGACGTTAATTTTAACTTATTTTTGGAGTAAACATACATTAAAAAGTGACGCGGGGAAATTTAGTTTCTAAACATTGAAAGAGTTAAAAATAAAACAAACACCGATACCGGAGATAACCGACTAAACGAAGTGGATTATATCATAGGTTTGTACAGGGAAGACGGATGCCGATATATGCCTTATTTAAACAGGATATAGAACTATTGTTTTACTTAACTTTCTGTAATTATAGTATTTTTAATGTGTACTGGTAGGGCCACGAAACAGTTCGCTGTTGCACGAATGGGCAGGTCCATCCGGGGAAGTACCACGGCCCCACAGAAGACCAACGTTTCTGGTGAGAGAGGTAGCCGGGGCCAACTTTATTAAAAGGTGGCAACGCATCTGCAAATGTCCATGGCCGGTGGTTATCACTTAACATCAGGTGAAACACCAGCTCGCTTGACATCTTCTTACATAAAAAAATCGTAAAAAATATTATGTGCATTAAAAATTTAGAAACAAGTCCAAGTTAACTGGGATGTTAAAAACAGGCATAAAAACATTTTAAAATGTTTCTTAAAGCAAACCTACCTTTATACAAATATAAAATGACATTTCCTTAAGAGCTATTTCTACTTACTTATTTATTTCTTTATATAAGCTAAACGTTAAGTCTTTACATGAAAAATGGTAACATTTAAGTACTTTCCCTAAAATATCCTCGCATTCATTAAATATGAAACAAGTAAATACGACCTTAATAGAGACGGAACGAATAGCGACTGGGAACGAGATTGAAACAATTTCCTTTTAAATTAGCTTCGTCAATCAAAATAAGTGAATGGGAAATGTCGCAGGACCTCTGCCCGAGGTCCGAAGAGGTAGCCGTATCAACGGACCCCCAACAAACCAACAAATTATCGTAACGAGCGCGAAAGTTAATACGCCGAGAATTTTTCATTCATTCCATTCCGCCCGACGTCGTAATTGGGACTTGCGTTTTATAATAATTCGCTTTAAATTTATTTCATAAACGGAGTTTGTTTTGGAAAGTTGTAGAAACGTTTTTCTTCCATTACATGCTGCTAGCTGCTTAATTATGGCTTTTGGATTGCGTCATTGCATTTAGGCTGTACATTCAGCAATTGGTGTGAAGACGATTTAAAAATGCGTAAATAAAACGCTGGTGGGGCTAATTCCTGATAGCTGAGTGTCCGGGCACTTGATTCAATATACTCCAGCAACCTGAGTTCGATCCCCGGTGTCGGCACCAATAAAATTGTTTAATTTTAATTGCTGACTTATCACGTGGTCAGCGGTGAAGGAAAACATCGTGATGAAACATGTATATTTTTTGAAATAACAAAAAAAAACTATTTTGAAGATCCGCAATAGGGTCGTGCTATGTAGCCCACTATTCAGCACAGCTGTGGGACGTATAATTATAGCCTGTTACTTTTAATTTTGACACTCATAGAATTTAAATTAAATCACCGTGCCGGTACCGGGGGTCGAACTCAGGTTCCTCGAGTATATTGAATTAAAAGTGAGCGCCCGGACAATGAGCTATTACGGCTCTCCATGGCTTTGAGAGTTAAATGAAACTCCACTACGCGTTCTGATTAGATTTTTAAATTCCCGACGTTTCGATACTAATCAAACGCGGTAAAAATTGATACGATCGAATTGAGAAGTCTCCTTCTTTTTGAAGTCTGTTAAAAATCCGTAAAATCGAACCTTTTAACAATATATAATATTCGCGTAGAAACAAGAAATCTATTCTTCGATTTTATTTGAGTACTAATGCAATTGAGTTATCGAATAAACACTGAGCCAACGCAAAATAAATCGAATCGTTGGCGCTTAAAATCTGAGCCGAGAGTTTTTCTGCCACAAAGATCTCTCAGCTAATAGTAACCGCTACCGTTACATTGTACAATACAATATAGGTCATGTTACTAGCCTTAGAGATGATAGAATGGATGACTGACTACATACGTATCGGACGAGCTTGTGAGTGACTCATATAAGAAAATAAAAGCACAAAACAAACCAGACACACAGAAGATTCTTGTTCGAACTCTTGACATTAAATCACAAAGTCAATGTCCCCAGACACGAGGCCACCAAGCCGTACGAGATTTATCCGGCAGCAAGGACCAAATTGCGCTGGACAAGCGTAGACTGGCCGCCGCTCATCTTACATAAGTGCGCCATAAATACTGACGTTCACGTGCCAATGCATTGTCGGGTCGCGACGAAATGAACAACCCGCTCCCCCCAACCCTCCCACCCCGTCACCGACGTCGCATCATGCGCGAAGTGTTTGACCGACTTATTTCCGAATGAGTTGGGGCCCTTGCTACGTGCAATATCAATTTGCACGTACCTAACTTGGCCGGCGTCGCGTATACCGATTGTAGAGACGGATATCTGTTGATTGTTCGCCCTCGGGGGCATTCCTCCCCGTTGATTGGTTTTTTCAAGTCGTGGAGGCTTGTTTCTTTATTCGTTTTCCACGTGGCTTGGCGTTTCTAACAGTCTTATACGACTGTCAGGAATCATATTTACAATGCAACACAGTAGATTTACGTTTTACATAAGGGTACTGATTGCTTAGTGTACCTACTTTTAATGTGCCTATAATTACTGTAGTCTATGATTAGTGTAAATCTTCTGTCTCTAATTTATGTCCGCTCTAACTCAACTATTTCATACTTGTTACTTTCTGCAGCTAATGTTGGATATGTAATGTTAATAGAACTAACATTAATATTTCTATACTTCGTTAGGAATTATTTTATAAGTATAACAATAAAAAGATTAACGTTTGGCACTTAACGATAAATATAAATTTTACTATGTATAATTATGAAAGGAATTTTTATTAGAGCTTTTAAACGAAGGTAATAAACAAAATGCACTTAACCTCGCTTGAGAATTTTTCGGACGCGAGTTTTTCAGATATGAATGCTGAGTACCTACTTTCATCGCTGAACGATGAACTCAGCATTTAGTGGAATACAAAAAGACATTTAAACAGCAGATGCGTGTTATAAAATCATATTTTTTTAACAAAAACGCGTGCGTAAAAAAACTAAATTCAAATGGACAACGCGTGATTCTGGACACGTTTCGCTAAATGAAATTTATATGTTACAGTGCAATGGAAAATAGAACTTACTTGTCATCAACTTTACTGCGGTAGGGCGACGCAACAGCTGGGCTCTATGCTGTTGCACGAATGGGCAGGTCCATGTGGGTTAGTACCACGACCTCATAGGAGACCGGCCTGAAGTAGAAGTGTTTTACTTCTGCGTTTCGTCTTTGTGAGTGAGGTAACCGGGGCCCACTTTATTAAAAGGTCCATGGGCGGTGGTTATCACTTACCATAATTTGAACCGCCGCTATGTACGCTCGGATGGTTTGCCTCTGGTTCCATTGTAAATTGTTAATTTTAAGTACTGACTTATCACGTGCTCAGCGGTGATGAAATCGTGAGGAAACCTGAATATTTTCTAAATAACAACAAAAAAAATATTTCGAACATTTATGAGAAGTCCACCAATCCGCAGTGGGACCGCGTGGTGTACTATGCCCTAACAAATCTGTACACAGGAGGCATTTGCCCAGCTGTGGGATATGTATAGGCTGTTACTTTACTTCACTATTATGAGTTACTGCTTTTATCAACAGCTACATCGCCCGCAGCCACTAGGCGGGATAGTTTTATATAACCCAGCCTATAATAATTGAGATATCAAAATATTTACAACAACGTGATAATGGTTGTGCCTGTGGTAGGGCCACGCTGCCTTCGCTTGGAAAACTCATTCGAGAAAGTACCACGACCTTTCCGGCGTAAAAAAATATTATTTATTATATTAATATACAGTGTGTCGTTACCATCGCGACAATAAACGAACACACGTCTAACACTACTTGCCAATAATCATAAAAAAATATTAACGTTAAATAAAATCCATAATTAAAAAAAAAAGATTTTGCAAACAAACTAATTAAGTAAAAAAGAAACAAAATTTGTAACATCCTATACAACTCGCGCCACAGCGTCGCATTACAAGCCTCTCCTTCTAACAGTATGTTTTGTCTCTTTTAAATTCATTCAACCCATTCATATGCTTCGTGACCTTTACAAATGAACTTTACGTTACAGTTTTATACGTAAGGGTGTTCTAAAATTGTTTGTTTTGGAAAATTTAATAACTCTGTAAATATTGATGTTTGAAGAATGTAAATGTTTAATACAATTTTAAAAATTTATCCTCTATATCTGTGTTCATTTATTGTCGCGGTGGTAACGACACGCTGTATAACCATTACACTGACTTATTGATTTTCAAAATACTACTAACGGTTCAGAAAAGAAAAGCTACTGGCCTGAGAACAACCGACAAAAGTAACTCAGTGGGACAGTTTTAGGAAACGCATCCGTTACTCAGCAATTGTAGATTTCCAAGATATCCATGGGCAGTGCTAATCACTTAACAGAGGTAGCCGTTATGTGGCCAAGTTCGAGCTTTGGTCTTTCGGTTTGGATAAAGCTAACGAATCGAATTAACCTTTTGAAATTCATGTGAGCTCGTGTATAAACCGTCGGTACGTGTATAAACGTGGCAGGTCTGAAATAAATTTAATAGAACTCTTTGAAAATTTAATTTTCTGTGTTATTTTAAAACATTGGAGTAGAGATTAGATATTAAACTGTTTATTATTTTATGTTTATTAGAAATATCTTTCCAATTTAGCTGTAGCACCATAAAAGTTTTTAATTGATTACAATAAATTTCTTTCCTTTGTCAAATTCTATAATCGATAGTTCTGATGTCAAATTTTCTATGATCGATTATGATTATAAATTCGTTCCTAAATTTCCTAATTATGTCGCACTGTATTCAAGAAGTTATCTTGACCTTCTTAGTATACTTCGCTCTGGTTGATGTCATCAAACAATAAGTCTTCGAAAAGTCTTAACAGTATCTCAGTGAGAAGGATAAAAATAAAAAAGGTGATTTTGAAACGTTGGTTAGTATAAAAAAAATAAATTTACTGATGAACGTTACTTATTAAAAAACCACTCGAGACAGTTTAATTGACAGCTTACCGGATGAGTTAGAGATTCTTAAAGATCCACTTACTTGGATAGACTTGACAATTCACCATCTAGTTAAGAGAATCATAATTATCATTATTTAAAATTAAATTTAGAAAAGAGCGATTTAGTGCAAAGCCTGAGGCCTGAGGGCGCTTGTATATTTACAAGAACCAATATAACATACATAACATACATAGAAATGAATAATAGAGAGTTAAAGTAATTAAAAACTTTGTATACTATCGTATAATCATTGGTCCTTGATAAATTTGCGAAATGTGTTTTATATCGAATTTTTAACCGACTTCAAAAAAGGCGGAGGTTCTCAATTCGAATGTATATTTTTTTTTTAATTTTGTTACCTCAGAACTTTGATGATTCTTTATTTATTTGACAGCTGGTATTGCCTATGTGGCCCCATATTAATAAGTAAAAAATAAATAAGTCATTTGTATTGGATCTTGGGCTCCGGGCGCAATATTTTTGAAGAGAATGTAATGAATAGATCTTAGTCGCAGTGTTCTTGGCACTTACTAACCAACCCCTTCAACACAAAATCCAATACATCGCGTTTTATGCATAAAATTAGTGCATTTATTACGGAGGCGATGAGTTCATGTTATCGAATGCACTTCACTGCGGGCTCTCTCGGTACACCCCTTAGAATACGCGCAAACATTTCATCTCCCGGGGATAAGATGTAATGAACAAGCACCTAGTCTATTGTGGAATATGGAACGCTCCGTATCATAATGGCTAAAGAAATTTTAAATAGAAAACTGTTATTTCTTATATACTTTTAATTACTTAACGCAGGTGTACAAAATATCTGAGCTTTTGGAAGCTCTGAGTAAGCGTCTGTAACAAAGAATATTGATTATAATCATCAAAAGTCTGCAGATGATCGTTATTTTTGACAGAATACGTTGGAAACCTGGCATTGAGCCAAAACATCTTGATTTGTTTCGTAACTCGCCATTTCGACCGCTAATTTCATTCACTTTTAAGTTACATTCAATTTGCATTTACTTTGTTTATATAATAAAAGTGATATAGGCTGGTCATTGTACAATTTGTGCTTGCTTCGCTTTTTACATGTCATACGTTAAACCTATTAAGGGTTTTTATTCTACTGCTGTGTATTCAGCATAGTATATGCTAAATGTTAATCCATACTAATATACTAATATATTAAACTAATATACAACTTATTTATATTATAAATGTGAAAGTAAGTCTGTCTGTCTGTCGCACTTTCACTCCAAAACTACTGAATCGATTTGAATGAAATTTGGTACACAGATAGTCTAGAGCCTGAGAAAGGACATTTTTTAATTGGAAAAAAAGGTGTTGTAAAGGGTTGAGAGATAGTTATTTATTTAAAGGCTACAACCGCTTCTGCGGGCGAAAGTATGTTATATGTAATCCTACCCTATGTTGAAAAAAATATTTCGCTATATATAATATTAAATATGACACCGGTGATACAAAAACGATCGAACAATACTTCCTTATAACAAATTGAGCAGGTAAACGCAATGACAATCTTTTCACATAATGCGATACTAATTCTATACTATTTTGTGTATTTTTGTTTCTTTTTAAAAACATAAACTTCACATGGACAAACAAGTGGCAATCATCCCTGGGCCCACAAATAGTTGGGAATCGAACCCACGGTTCCCGACGCGGAAACCATTTTCTCTTTTAAGTTCACTTCACTCTTCTTTCACTTCTCGCAAAATTGTCCTTGTAAGACAGTGACCATCCACTTTCTACCGTATCTTCAAGCCTTCAGGTGCTTTAGATGACTATAGTCGGACTCGCGCACGAAGGGCTCTGGCTGTTGTATGGGAACCCTTAAATTATATTCTGTTTTTTTAGTACTTGTTGTTATAGCAGCAACAGAAATACAATGTCAACTGTCCAACTATCATGGTCCATGAGATACAGCCCGGCCTGGTGATATACGGACAGACAGACACACAGACAGAAAGATAGATAGACAGCGGAGTCTTCGTAATAGGTTCCGTTTTAACCTTTGGGTACGAAGCGCTACAAAGGGAACAAATAAAACCACGCGCTTTATGAACGCGTGAAGATCGGACTTCGCACGTCTCTTCGCCGGCCCCTGCACATAACCAACTCGAAACTTGTTCCCTTTACACGTCGCGACATTTCTAAAACGCCCTTCCTTATGACGCTACACACGTGCGACGGTGTCGGGGCGTGTTCCCGTGGAAATTCAATGCAACAATATGGCGCGACATTTTGGAGTGGCTGAGAAAATTCAGAAGCAGCGCCCCAGCGGAGGTGTCAGGCGAATTGTGATGACGTAACTGAC